GTTTGAGCGGGTCAGGTCTGTAGAATTATTGATTGCGCCAGGAATTTCAGTTCGAAGGTCCCAGTCCGTTTGACCTGAACGAGCCGGAGTAATATGAACGGCGATTCCGATGCCATTGATCTCTAGATCGGAGCATGGGCTAGCACACTGACGTTCATGGTTCCCAATGGATGGAAACACATGGCCTGTTCAGTGTATTCTGTATTTGGCTATTAGTTTAGCACGAACTAGAACATATAGTGGGAGAGAGCCAAGGGCTGGATGCTCTACCTCAATGAGGTGCTGGTATTTGACACATATTGGCTATCACCATATGTGCAGTGCATATGGACTCCAGAATTTGGCTTTGTGTATCCTCCGCAGCCATAGAACGCGTTCGTCGTCAACAAGGGCTTTAGTTGGTAGGACAGCGTGGACTGAAACATCGATGGCTTTGAGACTTCATCTCGTCCGAAAACGCCTGTGATAAAACTCCCTACAAAGAAAGATTGAATGAGCCGCTAAGCATCGCACAATACGAATGAGGTGACGGCCATGCCTCTCAAGGGATGGAATGTGCGTAACTGGTGCCAAAGGTCGAGCTTACTAGGTACCATGGAGTGGCATACTCAAGCCATGGCGTGCAAGTCGAAGCGGCTGCGCATTCCGATCAGTTGGTGTCAGATGCTTGGGCACGCCTCCACCGCCATCTGTAAGCCATGGCCGAGGAGCTTCATCCTCAGTCCCAAACCACCGGATGAGCCGCACAAGTAGCTTTGCTGTCTATAGGTCAATGACGGTACGATGACGAGGGACAGATGAGATCAGCAATCCGTCTGGCTGGGAATCGGGCTGTTGGTTGTGGCGGCGGTTGGTGTAGAGAATGATGAGACCTCGGGTCAGGGCAATGCATGGATATCCATAATAATTCTCAGGGGAGTAGATACTGGCCGGGGGGATGTGACTGTGTGACATTGGGCGGGTGTGTGGATGCAGGGGCAGGGGCTCTAATGTGGCAGCAAGGCCATTAATTGCGTGTGCGTACCTGCCCCAGCACTCACTCAGCCCAAGGGAGAGGAAGGAGGGACCTGTCTTCACAAATGTTCCTCAGAGATTGGCGGGCACGTAGATCTTCCATCGGGACAGACCGGCGTTGCATACACCTCCCTCCTAGCCCTCTCTTGTTGTATTTTCATCGGTGTCTGTGGGCAGATGAGGCAGCATTCCGAAATGGTACTCAATCAGATGAAATGAAGCTGTGCGTCGAGCCGTATGTCAGGTACAGCCACCGTGTATTAAAAATGTATTAGAAATATTGGTTCCACAATCCACTTCGCTCCCGACTATCTAAACACCATTGTTGCTAACATCCATAAAACCGAAGTCGTGATGGCTGAACGACCTACCGATTTTCTAGAAGCACTGTCTCCTAGTCTGCCCCGCGAGAGAAACCAGTAGTCAGGTTGCAGCAGTCCGAGCTATAATTACCTGCTTTGATGCCATCACCCTAGGGGAATGTCAGAGAAGATGCGGCCGTGTCCGTGCTAGGTACCACTAGATGAGGAGCTCGCGAACTGAAGTCGGCAGATCACATACATTTTAGCAAGGATACGGTGGCTACCAAACGCCATGTTTTCGGTAAGGCATGGTGAGATGACCATGCATGCCTATCGGGGAATTTCAGCCTTCTGCTGTAGAGGTCGGTAGCGACGAAAGAGGAAGGGTGCTAGCAATCAATTCGCTGAGGCTGAGAATAGAAGCTGGGCTCCGGACACTTGGGAATCCTAGAGCTGCGCATCTTGGCGTGCACAACAGGCCTGGTGCAGCGTGGGACAGGCCCCAATACCACATAGCCATGGCCCATCAGGTTTCGGCAGTGGTGGCCTACCACACTCCCCCAGATATTGTAGGCATTTGGATCTTCCTTTGGGCGGAAGCACCTACGAATGAAATGGCCATTTCAAGCGAGACGGTCTTACATGTAAGAAAATAATGAGCTCGTGAAGGGGGGGCTGAGAAGAGAAAAGAGCCAACAATGCGGTGCACCACAAGCCTGACATTTCATTTCTAACCATGCAGTCTACTCAAGCAAAGCCAAGATGCTGCGCTGGCTTCCGCGCCATAATTAGACCCGGCCCTCGATGATTACACAGGCGAGCATGCCTAGAAAGCAGAAGAAGCCGACCTTCAGGGAGCTGAGTAGAGTAACAACATTAGCCACGTGCTGTCATGCTCATCCTGGATGGGCAAGACGCAGTATTAAAAAAAAGATGCAGAAAGCCTTATGCTTGCTGCGAGGTAATAATATGAAGATTGGCGATTTTTAAATGGAGAGGCATTGCATGGCTCAGCGCACACCTGTTCCGCGATTACCTATTAGTTATTAACACTCCCAGAGAAGCGGCAGAAAGGGACTTTGCGAGCCTATTACTGCATGCATACCTGCACACTAGTGTCAGAACCAAACTGCAGGTTACAGCTGGTAATGAGGCTATTTTTTAATTTATTCTATTAATATTTGTTGCACAATCCAATTCATTGAATTCACGGCATGATACGCGCAGTCTGGCCTCGTCCCGAAATTGGCTGACAAGCACCGACGAGACCTTGATTCAAGGAATTCAACACCGTCCAGTCGCTACAAGGAACAAGGCCCAGCATTCCAGGTTCTATTTTTCTCTCGTTGATAGCGTGCTCTGGCCGCTCTTTCAGCTGCTGTCTAGTTCCGAGCCTACATGTAATTAATCAGTGAGTAGGCCGTCGGTCATAGGGCCACCCCTGACACTGCTGCAAGACGAGGGATCAGGGTGAATTCCGTTTAGAGACACTCTTCACGCCACGGACGAGCCACCACACCTCAGGTATTTGCAAGTCTGCTGGGTATCTCCAGTACCTGGCCCAATCCCGGCACCTCCTTCTACCGCCATGTGCACCCGCTACTTGACGACCTCAGCAGCCGCAAGGAGGTAATCATGTAGGTACCTCAACAGGCTGGCTACCTAGCTGACTAACTGGCCGGATGCGCAGCGCAGCACACGCAAGCACGCACACCACCCTTCCCCGGCCGCCTCCCCGCCAACTTGGTGGTTGGCAGAATTTGGTGGCCCTGACCCAGGCCTGCAAGTACATAAAATCTTCGAGACCATTGCGAATTTAGTGAGAGAGATTCGTCCCACTCCAGCGTCGATGAAGCCGCCCGATGCGTCTGCATCCACCCTACCTAGGTACATACATACGGCTCCAACCAAGAAACGGGGTCCTGGATGG